TTTCTGTTCTATATGGTCGTAAAGTTACATATCGATAGATTTAAACCATTTTGATATCACAAGCTAGACTCATATTATGTCTCATTTTTACCAGCAGTCAGAACTTCTGTCTAAAACTGCATAGTTGCTCAAACTCCTTATTTTGCGCAGTACTGAGATGGCCACCGGCTAACCTATCTAATTTGCTAGATTTTTTTATTATTAGAATTGATCTAGTATTGCTAATAGATATTTCATTAGATGCAGTTAGATGTGTGCTTGCAAACCATTTTTGAATCTAATTTCCAAGATGATGTTTGATAATATGGATGTTAGAGTGAACTTCAGTTTTATCCATTGCTGAGTTGATTCCATTGATTCTTTTGCTTTTTCATCGTGATATGTGTGCTGGGCTATAATACAAACATTTTATACACCTATACCGGGCGCATGAAATATATATTTTCTCTTTCGCGAGATGCTCTTGCGCGTAATAAAACTAAAATAATTAACGAACGTACGGTACGGAGTCATTCCGCTGATGACCTTGTATGGCATACTTATGTACGAGTGCAACACTGGTAGCGACCTCTAAAAATCCACAAGAAGACGCACAGAACAAGAATCTTTTCTTGCCAACTTGTGCATATGTTTGCAATACGTATCTTCTCTTAGATATTACAACAGAATACAATTCAAATGGTGTTATTTAATATATTGATGATTGGGCTCAAATCTGCTGTTTGTTACATTTTCATAGATATAACTGCAAAAAAAAATTTTTTTTCATAATTAAAATATTAATTATTAATTAAAACATAATAAATCTTTTTTTTCAGGAATAAATATAATTATAAAATTTATATATGAAAAATCCAGCTTCTGATTCAAAATAGGTTAATCGGTCGATAGTACCTTTATGTGAACATAAGGTCTTATATTGAGTGTCTCGCATCTGCTGGAACATAAGTTCTGTCGTCATTATTCATATGATAAGATGTATATGATTCTCATAAAATTAAATTTTGCTTTATTATTCACCAGGCTGTAGAAAGTTTTGCAAAAATAATTGATTAAAATTGTACTAATGTAGAGTCTGTTCAGAAGTTCAAACATTTATAAAATGGGTATATAATATCGATCAATGAACAGCATTGATTTTTCCAATATGCAAAACTCTTAAAAAATCATTGTCAACCCTTTCCACTCAGATGCCGTAAGAGTTGGAGTCCGCGGCTGCTGGATACCTGTTGCCGTTGCACGGGCTCGTTGCGTCGTCTGCTGCGGACGCGGCCTTCGTAACTTATTATCGGGCCGGTCAATGTTCGATAGTCTGTGCTTAATATCGACTACAAGACGATTGATTATGATCGCACAAAGACAGGTGTTGTTGCTGCAAATCCGTGTCACGATCGCTGATTGAAATCATTTGAAATAACATATAGCGAGACAATTGAAAATAATTTGAGAGTCCGGGAATCTCCAGTCGAATAGTTGATGCTTCTATACTCTAATTCAATAATTAAACTAATTCAACTTCGAAAATCAAGCAAAGCCGAGACAATTGACAATTTGAAATAATATAAAGTGAAGCAATAGAGAATCTTTCAAGAATCCTGAATTTTTATTCAAATAGTTGATGTCGATGACGTTGATGATGATATCAATACTATGATTCAACAATTAAGCTAATTCAACATTGAAAATAGAATTTGAAATAACATAAAGTAAGGAAATAAAGAATATTTGAAGAATCCGGAAATCACTATTCGAATTGTTCATGACGCCCATCTTCTGATTCAACAATTAAACTAATTCAACATTGAATTTATGAATATAATTCCGAAAAACTAATTTTTTGATATATTCCTGGAGCTGTTCACCAAAAATGCTTTCTTCAAATGGATTTCATTTTCCTCAGATTTTGTATATTGTGACGACAATAAATATGGTATAATAATAACGGGTAGTACTGCCCTAGGAGGGTCTCTATTAAACTCCAACTCGAATCAAGAAAAAATAGTGCGAGAGATTTTCCATTGCTATTTCATATTGCAATGCCCGAATTAGGATTATTTTCAATAAAAACATAATTTTGATCTATATTTTCAAATGAAATGGACATCGCTGCTGCCCGATGTCAGGTTGCCAAACTGGGAGCTTGAACTCGAGACCCGAGACAGTATAAAACATAGTTGTTTTCAAAATAAAAATTTCATATGCATCCAACGCTCTGTATTTTAAATTACATGGTATGTTAATAATTATCAGTTTATCAAAAGGTGGTATTGTGGAATTTAAGTTTAAATACCAGATATTATAATGCAAGATTATAAAACAAAATCACTGTAAAGTTTATAGGCATATAAAACGTTTATACAAATCATTTTTAACAGCAGACACTATCGCAAGATTTTTTTATTATTAGTTGACTTTTCGCAAAACGCGTATAGTAACGTTGTTAAATGAGGAACGATAAAAAATTTATAAAATTGTATAGATAAATTATAGATAAATATAATTATTTATTTTTGTGCATGTATAGAATATATAGTTGATTATGATATATATATATATATATATATATATATATATATGCAGATAATTTTGCATAATTTTTTATATTATCATTACATTATACATTGTATGAAATTCACTGAACATTATATGATTCTGTGTAAGCGAACTGTTCGATCGCAAATTATAAAAGAGTCTTTATGAGAAAATGACGAGTAGTGATATCAATTCGCGAGCGAAATGAATTAAATGGTTGAATACTGAGAAATATTTATATGTTCAGAAGGACGTTTATATAAAGTCAGTCACTTTTATCACGTTGCGGAAATAATACAC